AGTTCGTAAACCTTTTAATTAGCCTCAACTCTAGAAATAAATCCATCGGTTACGTACTCGCAGCTGTGGTAACTCACTCACTGAAGTTAGACATGATTAACGCCATAAAAAGGCTACGAAATATACACAAGTTACGGCAAATCCCCCTTTCTCTTCAAAAAAAAAACAAAGGGAAGCGGATGGAAAGTGCAGTGGCAACTGCAGTTGATCACGACAGGTGACCATTACCAGGTGACACTAGACAGCTCAAATAAAATCCGTAATACTTAGTTCTCACACGAATATGGCGAGTCAACGAACCTTGAGAACGGGAACTTTCTTTCGGCGGTGTGGAGTGAAAAGTGTAAATTTATATGACACACAAAGACTGTTCGGCCAAAGTAAATATCAGAGTAACAGAATAATGCCGTAGAGAACTCTATACAGCGGTGTTATAGATACAACAGAAAACAATGTCAATGCAAGGAGGAGCTCAAGCGTGGAGTTTTGACCGACTTGGGCGGTTTTTATAAATCAAAACAGCTTTCTTCGAATTGTTGTTTTAGGTACAAGTAAACAAAAAGCATTGAACCGATAAATGAAAAAACAATGATTTTAAAAAAATTCTAGCCACACTAATTTTTTATAGTTTTGCGAGTCATTTCAAAGGCGATTACGATAGAATAGCTGTACTTGTCTTTAATTATACTCGCTGTAACCCGTTTAATAGATGAATTTGTATTCCTCACGTGGTTAGGCCAAACATTAATCGACAGATGTCAGACACCGTAAATAGAAATTCGGATTTGATTTATCCCTTTCGTGCATTCTATTAGGAAAGACTCACCGTGATGAGGGAGGCATCCTCGAGGACATCCGATTTGAGGTTCCTTCCGCCGCCGGCAAGATTGGGGTTGCTCGAGAGCAGGACGGAGTTCAGAAGGTTCTTGAAGCTCAGGGAGCTGTAGCTAAAGGGCGAGAGGAGGGTGAAGGCACCGGCCCGTCCGCACACCTCCAGAGCCACGAGGCAGTGCAGCAGCAGGGTCATCAACAGGCGACCCTTGACCTCGACGGTGGGCCGCATCGGAAGGCCGGCAGGGGAGCAATCGCACCCAAACTTCAAACACTCAAGGCGACACTCACTTCGACACTCACTCCAGACACTCACTCACTACTCACTGGCTGGCCAGCCGACTCACGCTCAGTCGGACACACAAAATGGGGCAAATTGGCAAATGCAACTGTTGCTTGCACTTAAGCGTAACGGTTACGTCGCCACTATCTTTTTTCTCCCGCTTTCGTCACACTTGTCAGTTACGTGTGGCGTTTTGGCACTCCGAATGTCTCGCCGGTATCCTTCGGATCGACTTTGGATCGTGGAACTAATTCCCACGAAGAGCGCGATGTTTGAGTAAGATATTCCGATTCACTTGATCTTGGCGCGTGATTAAAACTCTGCGTTGGCAACCGTCTGGCTTGAGATTCGTCGTTCGACTGGCCGTTTTGTAGGCAGAATGAGCTGAGCTAGGCTCGAATTGCAGCCCCGATCTGCGGGCCAACTTGTTCGAGCCGGCTCTTGTGGATCGCTAGTTTGTGGATCGTAATGATCAGCTTTAAAGCGGGCTTAAGCTGGTCTGGCTTGGTTTGTTTCTTTTCTCAAGACTTAATGGTAACTAGGATGCCACTTGTGTGATAATGTTACAGTACATACATATTTATTAGTGTTATTATACAAATTATTTACGAACCTATTATTATCATTTTATAAAACTTCTTTGTTTTTAAAAGATTGCTATTGGCTTCACGTCTTGTTGAAATAGTCGACATAAAATTCAGCTGAATTTCATTATTATAATTTGCATCTTAAAAATTAAATTTAAATTATCAGGCTGGTATGTCCCACAATTTTCTCCAAGTGTAAATTTTGCGACCTAGCTCAACTCCCCCAGAGTAGTCAGCTGATCAAGCCGACATGTTCGACGCCCCCAATGCAACACAACCTCCCTCCCCTCTTGTCCACTTCGCTGTCAAAGTTTGGCGCGTGCCAAGCAAGTTTTTTGCCTAAGTCTTTCGTTTCGTTTCGCTTTCGTTCGGCCGCAAAAGTTTTTGGTTGGCTGCGGCGTGTCTCTGGGTTCGATCCGTTTAGCTGTTAGGCGTTGGGTCGTTGGATCGCTGGATCTTTTGGCACGTACCGAACGTCTTAGTGACTTGGTTGCGTGTTCGGCTGCCGCCAAGGCAATTGCAATTGAAGCCCCCATCCCAAGACCCCGGCTGACGAAATATTTGGCCTGGCATCGGGTTACGTCTGCATTTGGCCAAATTAAAATGCAGGCTGAATTACACACTATTTTGCTTTGTGCCGCGCCTGGCTGAAGGCGGGAGTTCGGGAGCAGCACTCCCCTAAATGTACATGTGTACATATATCATTGCGCGATTTGCTGTGATTGCCCGTCATTTGTTTTGTTTATATTTCGCCGCCTGGTTCGCCATCTGCATCTTGGGATTCGTTGGGCCTTGTGTTCATCTCTGTGTTCCCACCAGCTTTGGCAACGATCTCTTCCCGTTTATCTCCGATTTCTTGCCGCACCGGTTGGCCTTGGCCGGCCAATTTGTCGGGCCTTCAATGACAACTGCGCTCAGGCATTAATCATAAATTCAATAACCATTTTTACATGCATTCTTACCACATCCCATAAGCAATCAAAAGTGGCGAAAATAAAAACCGTGCTTCGCGAACGCTGTCCAAAATGCCCTCGAAGAATTTATTTTCGCGGTGCACTTTTTGATTGATTTATGAGCTACATATAGACATTTTTAGTGAATCTGAAGCTTATTTTAAAAATTGTTTTTCTTAAAGTTCAATTTACATATTTAAGTGAACAGTGCAGTGCAGGCAATTGAGACTGTATCGATCACCGATTTCGAATGATCATATATGATCTGTAGCTTCAAGGCGAGCAAAATTTTAGCAGTGCACTTAAGTGTGCTGCAGAATCGCATGGCCATCGGACTTGGACTTGGAGGAATGTCATGAACACGTGCCACATGCAATCAGTTGTGGGGCAGGAGCAGGGCCATCCACTTCTTTTGAGTGCCGTGATTATTATAGTGTTGTTGCTGTGCTTTTCGTTATTATCTTGCTCGGATTGTTACGACTGCAATTACGAGTATCTGGGGCTTTTTTTGCTTCACTGAGATTCTTACAACACTTCGTGCGTCGGATTTTCGGGCAGCGAAATTAGCGCAGAAAATTATCCCAAAATGTGGCGTTGAAGCCTAAACCATGGAATGGAGCTTTAAAAAAATGAAAAAATGTTCAAAATGATTTATGGTCAGCATTAAGATCAATGGAATGCCATGATATATTAGTACAAATTTGCAGAAAAAATTATTTCTTTGCCATTTTTTAGGTATAATCGGAGAAATTAGTTCTTAATAAACAAATTTTTTTATGAAAATGTATATTAACTATGAAGTTATAACTTTAGTTTGAAAGTTGTTTTAGAAATCGCATAGCCGAAGACCAAAAAAAGCGCATTCCCGCGTTCAAAAGTAATCGCTGCGCTGTGGAAAATTACCCATTGTTGCGTAATAGGTTAATGCCGCCAATCTCAAGGTCGCAAGGCGCGAGTTAACTTTTTTCTTGTAATTTGTTTGTCCGCTGCTGTCCGAATTTTTGTGATTTTTGTTTTGCTCTTATCCCGCATCACAGCATGACACTGAAAATGTTTATTGGGAGCAGAGCGAAAAGGGGTAAACTTTTTTCCGTCGGTAATATCTCTGTTGTCCTCAGCCTCGCGTAAATGACCTTGTCAGGAGTGCGTGATGGCATATTTTTCTGTGTTTGCCCAATGGTTGACACACTTTCCGGCCGACCATCCCATTTCCATACCAACATACGCTCGCTAATATCTACAAAGTGTCAGAAGTGCTTAATTAGCGCACTTGACATCGCCACGGGCTTGGGTTTAACTACTCGGGAGCGCCTTAATTATAGTGCTTACACTTTAATGGCTCTTAATCCGCTCCCAATTGCTTCGAACTTCTAGCCCGAGGGGAACGACCGAACGACTAGCACTGCCCTGGGCTAAAAAAACGTTAAGGCATTGGAATATTCATCTTTTAATGAACATTTTATTTTAGTGGTCAATTTAGCTGGCACGTTCTAGTGCAATTAGGGTGAGCCAAAAAAAAAACCTTGAGAATCATAAGGTTCCTTTAATAATGTGGAATTAGAAACATTACTTTTATTGTTCGGAAAGTTTACAGTGCAGATACGCGTTGTACTACTTTTATGAATCAAGTTAGTTTCTCGTGCCTCTGAACCCACCTAATTACATTCTTTCCGCCAAAATCAGAGCTGGAATTCAGCCTGGTTCGGCTGTGGAATGATCCAGACAGGATACGTCCTGTGGGTAAGCAGACCGCCACTTAATTGTGGCGCCCGTCGCACACCCACGACAAAAGCGACTGCAAATAGCAAGTCGCAGCCAAATAACTACAATCAGGCCGACGGCTGCAGAAAGACCCACTTAAGTGGGGCGTTTTCTATCACCCAACTTGGGGCCTGCGTAACATGGTAGTTTTGTGGTATTTTATTAGCGGTTCAGCTGGGTTCGGGACTGGCTCTTCTCCCGGCGATTATGTAAAGTGATTTCTTGGTCCCAGAAACTTGGGACCCTCGGCGGCGGCTATTACTGTCATCAATATTTGGTAACGAATTCCAATTGCATGGCATTCCAATTTCAGGTTGATTGCACTAACTATTTTGCAGTCGTAGTCGCAGATGCAGTGGCAACCCACTCGGGTCGCTTCTCTCCATCGACTGGCCTGTTATTATATAACCTTCCAGCCAGGCGGCAGAGCTGCTCCGTCTCTTTCACTGCGCTCGCACACAAAATTTTCCAAACAGAGAAAACTCTGCTAATGGCGACATCGAAAGTCGTTTCAAGTGTACTCTACAAAGCGAAAAGCTGCACAAACACGCGTGCTGTTTGACCAACAAAATGTAATTCACTCAATTCAGATAATTAAAGTAACTCCTGTAGGAGTCTGCCTGTTTCCCCTAACAAGGATTTCCCTCAACCTGCTTCGGGCATTGCATCCAGTAGTCGAACAATATTCAGTATTAGGGCTTGAAATTCGGGATCTTCTTCTATATTAAGTACACCACTCATGGCATCCCTCCTTGATCTTTTCGGTCGTCTCGTTTTTACCATTTTAAACGGTTTTTATTTTTGGAATTTTAATAAACTTCTTCAATGTACAATTGAATTTCAGGAAGTTGCTTTCACGAGTAGGTGCTGAAAACAATTCATGCTTAAAATAATGCGACTTGCTTACTTGGATGGTAGGAAATACAATCTTGGTTACGAATTCTTACTTAAAATGGGGCTTCTTCTTGGTTTGGGAGTCCAAAACTAAGTTCTAGGTGCTTTTTGATTTATAAAAATATTTCTAATATTATTTCAAGATTAGTAAGGAAGAAAATTATACATTTGGTATATGAAATATTTTATTCGAGCAAATGCCACCCTTAAATTGAATGAATAAACTCTGTTTTATAGGATTTTCAATTCTATATTAAAATACTTCGATTTGGGGTAGGGCATTCCCACTTGTTGTTACAAAAATCAAGTCTATTGCAGTTTTTAGCCAACTTTTATTTTATTTTGGCTGTGCTGGCAAAACGAGACATGATACACAAGACACGAGGCAGAGCCCCAGCGGTGTTGTTTGTTTGCTTTTCCGTGCCACAATAACAACAGCAAAAACAACAACAACAACAGGTGGCCCGAATGCCTTGCCAGATTTGTCATCCGCCAGATACAGCAGCAGCAATAATAACAACAATATCGAAAATATTGGTAAATGTGTCACGGTACCAGGCAACCGTCTCTGTTCCTGTTTACATATCTTGCAATATTTCTGGGCAAAAATTCCGAAACAAAAACAATTTCCCAGCCAGCAGGTTTTTGGCGCCTCCTGATGTGAGTGAGTGTTTTGGTTTGAGTTGCCTCGATCGTTCGATTGACACACATCCCATCCCAAAAAATAGATGTGGGGATATACTTGTATAAGCTGGATGACTGCTCCATCTCGTGGGATTTGTTGGGGTTTGTTAATGTCGCCAGTTGTGGATTCTAGTCAACGTCCTCTTCAATTTTCTGTCGTTTGTTGCAGCTGACAAGGCAGAAATATGATGTCTAATGGCAAAATTTGCAACAAGCTTAGGCGCCGCTGCATTCGCCAAAACCATTTAAATATAATACATTTTAGCGAAAGTTTTGTTTAGCTGTTATTCAAAATGAATGTACCTGAATTTATATGCCGAACCTCAATAAAATTAAACAACTTTATCCCCATGTAAAGCTTAAGCTTCCAAAAGACCGGTATCATTTTCCATAGCGAAATAAATAAACTTTTGCAATCCAAAAAGGCCTATACCAAAAGCGCATTAGACACTTTGCATATTTGCCAGCTAAAGGATAAGTAGTCCAATTTTGATAAAAAACGAGCTCAAGCGCTGTTAATTAGCAGTCGTATATGTAATAGTGTTTCCCCAAGCAGGTTCTGGTTTTATAGGCCCCATAAACATTGCCCCCTTCTCCACACACTCACTTTTTGTGACACACAAAGTGCGCAAAACACGTAACAATTAAAAACATTAAAAGCATTTTATATAATACCGCAGAGACAGCCAAACAATAAGCACTTCACACGCTTTAAACCTTTTCGCTGATCCCCAACACACCCTTTGGGAAATCTGAGTCTAGTTTTGACACAGCTTCGACGGACCCGTAATAATAAGTGCCGCAGGCAAAAAGACTGAGAAATAAAAGACGTTTATTAGGCTTTGACAAGAAAACGATCACATAACATATGGCTAATAACCGAGATTTGCTGAAGACAATAAGACAAGCAGTTATGATACGAATTAGATATTATGTGATTGAACTTGGCGGCGTGCAAATACAGATCTTGTTTAGGATAGAAGATAACATGCATTATTTTACGTGATCTGAGTGTAATATTGTTTGAAATTAGCTGAATGAATATAAAGATATAGTAAATGAGACAATATGTCACCTCATATCAGGCAATATACGAGTACGATCAGGAAATGAAATGATCTCAAATAAAGATCATTCGTTAGATATAGCAACATAAATTTAAACATCAGTAGCTACATTTAAATTGTTTCACGTGTTTTTCAAAATGCAAATTTTCAGTGCAGCCTCAGCATTTTGTCCAAGAGAGCGTTAGCCGAAATTATGTTAATTGCACATATGCAAGCTGCATTTGTATCTGGACCTCTGTATCTGTATCTTTGCGGCGTAAAGGTGGCCGTATCTGTGTGCCATGCGAATGCAAATTAGACGCCAGAGTGGAGAGATTGCCCCCGAGAATGTGTTTTGGTTTCGGTGGGGCTTGGGGCTTGGTTTGCCACGCATAAATTTCCTCATGCCTGAGCGATTCAAGCGACCATTTTGCAAATGGCCCACGAGACGGGGTAATGTGGAAATGCGAATGTTTATGCTGAAATATGTTGAAAGGATATTTTATTGAGCGAGATCAAGTGGGCGGGGCAAATGAGTGAAGGGGCTCCGTTTGTTCAGCCACAAAGTTGCATAATTAATTTGTTTACACAGTTGTACACGAACTCAACGCAATTTTCCGGGGGCTGGAAAACAGCTAATAGGGATGTGGGCAAAAAACTGGTCAGTCCCAAAAATAGCACGGTAGAAATTCATATAAATTAATTTTGGCGCTCTTAAAGTACAGTTCAGTTGGAAACTGAAAAAACACAATTGTGAGGCATACATAAAACAAATTTGTACATACCTCAGCTCCTTTGTCATATTGCCATTTCATTTGAGGGGAAGCACTTAAAAATGAATTATTACGCCGCTCGAAAGTATCTGGTATCAGTTTCCCCACAAACATAATGCCAGACTGTCAGCGAGCCACATATGGATTGTACGTTTGGACAAGGGTTATATCATTAACTGCATCATCGATAAAAGTGTTCATATCCAGCGAATATTTATTTATTTTTGGTGCCATCCTTCGGTCTATTGCCTTTTTATTTTGTTGTTTTATTCAGTGTTTATTATGGGCGCTTTAATGCACATTTCCGGGCTGCAGTCGGATGAAGTGCAACAATGCCAGCCATGGCGTCAAATGTTTTACAGCCAGATAAGAAGTTTAATTTATGCGACAACATGTTTGAAGCTTCTGCCGTCTGCCGACACGAGCAGACACCAAATGGTATAAATACAGCAGTTAGCCATGTAGTCTGGCTTCAGGATGTGGCGGGCCTTGGCCACGCCCACAGTTCCCACAGTTCCCACGCCGCCTCCGGCTGCTATTGACCTTGCATGGCGGCAAACTTCGAACCCCAACAAAGTCACAGTCCGGCAAAAATTGGCCATAAATTTCGGGGCAAAGTCCCTGTTCCGTTTTTGTGGTTGCCAATGAGTGGGTTTTTTTTCCATGTTGGCGCTACTATTTATTTATTTAGCGCCATGTTTGTCTAGACTCTCGCTGACTGACACTCTCTCCGATATTTGTCAAGCGATAACTCCTTTTTATGGCCACCCATTGTCTGCAGGCTGGAACCACTGCCACTGCCACAGTGGCAGCCCATCGGATTTTATGCCACTTCCGTCTGGCTGAAACCAAAAACCAGCGGCCGGAGGAGCGTGCTTCTGCATAAGCAGGCTGGCAATTAAAAGCAAAGATTCCAGACATTTCTGCCACCGCAGAGCGAGTGGGTGTGAGGCGGTGGGTGGCCAGTGGATCGCAATCGCATCATTAATTAAGCCCATGCCCGGAAGTGTTGATAGTTCCTACCACCCCCGCGCTCCGGATCCAGATACATTTTCAGATGCAGATAGCTGGTTGCGGCAACATGTTGCTGGCCGCCATTTCGCCTGCAGCCCAGAAGTATGCAACGACTTGTGTGTGGGGAACTCATTAAAATGTTTGCGCTTGAGGATATTTCAAATGGCACAAGTACTGATTTCAGCCTCTAAACGTTTCTATTGCGGCGTTATTTAAATTTAATGTAAGGGATTATAAATATATACAATATAAAGAAAAACATTCACTTTTTGTTTGCTTATTTGAGAAGGGGAAAATGAAATCACGAAGATTTTTGGGCATATTTATTATACTACTAGAAAACATATAAAAATGGTAGATAGATCAAAAATAAATGGCAAATAACACACAGCGCAGCAGGAAGTTGGTTGGGCCATCGGGAACTCCAGACATCATACTATATATTTTATAAGTGTCCAAAGATCACGTACTGAAAACCTGCTCCCGGCAGCTTCCTCACTTTCCTCGTTGACCAGTACGGTTGCGGCTCCACTTTGCTTTTCATCGATATCTGCCACCCATTCACTGCGCCGAGGGCGCTGCCAGGTCACTCGCCAGGTCACTCGCCAGGTCACTAGCAGAAGACCGGTTGGCCAGGCAATCTGTGCATATTCCGGCGGTGCATGCGACCCTGCTCGTGCTGCTTCACCGACTTCAGGTGGTTCAGCGTGATGTTGCATGCCTCGCAGTAGAAGGCGGCACTGGGATCGTCCAGGGGAAGCGGAAGGGTGCCATGGAGCATCTGTAGACCCAAGGGCCTTATTGGGGCCAGCGATCCGTTGCCGTTTATCCGGTACATGTGCGTGCCATCGAACGGGACCAGACCCATGCCCATTTCCATGCCCCCGTCGGACGCACCCGCATAGGCGATATGCATCCGTCTGCGGTGACGTGCCCCCGCCAGGTGCATGGCCATCTGGGACTCCGAGGTGATGCTCACGTCGCACAGCTCGCACATGGGGTACTTGGCGTCCGTGCGCACCCAATTGCCCTCCCGATCGTAGAAGCCATCGCCGTATGGCCTGATCTTGTGGCGGGCCACCATTCGGTGGCGGCGTCCAAAGAAGTGCTGCTGCGCGTGCGACAACGAGGTCAGCTTCAGGTCGCACAACTTGCAGTAAAAGTCCGTTTGGCCGATGGTCCCGCCGAAGGCGTCCCCATCCTGTCCAGCAAGGTTTGCGTAGCCCTGGTGCACCAGCCACGAGCTGATCTTGCGCTCATGGGCACGCGACGAGTAGTGATCAATGGCATTCTGTCCCGACCGTATGACATACTGACACAATGCACAGTAGTTCCAGCGGAAGAGCGACTGCAGCTCCTGGGGATTCATTGGAGACAGATCCGACGCCAGCGCCAAGCCTAAGAGAGGAGATAGTTCTTATTCACTAGTGCTAAATGCGGATAATGCTAAATGATATGTATAAAAATAAATAAAGCACTTGACTATTCTAAAAAGAGATGGTATTTTTTAATATAAAACCTTTAGATATTTCAGTTAATTGGAAGAAAAAAAAGCAAGTAATAGATTTCATGCACATATGTAGCGGCCGCGGCTTTTCCTCACCTGGCTTCTGTGGTCTCACCAGTGTTTCCTGGCGTAAGTGATTGGCTCTAAGTCCGGATACTGCACCGTGTCCCTGTGCCTGTCCAAAATTTGGGTGCAGGACAATCCGCTGATCTGAGAAGGCCGCCGGCTGATCCCTGTGACCATTCTTAGGATTTCCAGACACATGGCTGCTGTAACCATTGTCGGATAGATCGCTCATATAGCCGCTGAGTCCGTTAATGGGAGACTCCACCTGGTGGCTTTGATTTTGGAAGAAGTAAGGCTGCTCCATTTTCACGATATTGGGAATATCCGGATTGGGATGGCAGCTGATGAATGGACGACGCAGCTGCTCATTGAGCACATACTCTCCATTGCTGTCCAAGCACAGTTCGGCGACGTGGCGAGGATTGGCCACAATTGGTTTCGAAGCCGCCTGATAACCATTGATAGGTCGTATTCCGTTGGCGACCGTAGACTCCTCTTTCTCGCCCAGGCAAAGCTGTGGAAAAAGGGTCTTGGGCAGGGTCTCACTTCCTGGCAGGCCCCTCGGTGAACCTTCTGACACCCAGATGTCCGAGTAGCTCAACGGACTGGATTCCTGGTGGTATAGACTGGCCATAAAGTGCGCTCTCATTACATCCGGTGATTGATCAGTCACAACGGGCTCGCTGAAGGTGGTGAAGTCCGTGGGGCTATTCTGCCCATTGATGACGTGTACGGAAGACTGCATCATCAGCATAGGAGGCGGACCCGAGTTGGAGTTCGGGGACCAGCCCATCTCCATGAGGGAGCGACCATGCATGGGACACGGAGGACGCTCTGGCTGAGGCAGCTTTAGGCCCAGAGCTTCCAGGGTTCCGGGGAGCACCAACTGCTGGAACCGCTTACCCTCCTCCTCCAGATCCTCGCTGGGCCAGCCCGTTGGCGGCACATGCACCTGGTAGCGGTACACGGTCTGCTCGTCCGTCCGGCGCAGCTCCACGAGCACGACCACATGACCGGATGGGCAGCGGGGCTGCGGTTGCGGCATGGCGGAGGCCACGCGCACAATGTTCATGGCGCACTGCTTGGCGATCTGCTCGTGGATGACGGGCAGACGCCGCTGCGGATGCAAGTTGAAGCGGTGGGACAACATGTCCTGCGGTATGGCGACTTCTGTATTGTGGATAGCTTACGCACTGGCTGATAGCTAATGGCTGATGGCTTTTTTTTGGGGACTTGGCTGGGAATGGTTGTGCACCTGGATTCTTAGTTAGCACATCTGGTCCTTTAATCGCCTCTTTGACTCTGGGATTTGCTCTGCTTTTTTTTAGTTCTTAGGCTCGTCGCTTTTCATAGAAAATAGAGAACTCTGGTCGTCGTTGAAATCTGAAGGGTTTTTGATACACTTGAGTCGCGCAAAATTCCTCGACCACTTTTTTTTTTGTGCTACTATCCTAATACGAAATGTTGGCAAAACATTTGAATTTGTTGGGAATCGGTGTTTAAAATATGTGTGAACGGTTCCACCAGTCGAAAGCTACATAACAAAACGCAAGTATTTTCCGGCCTTGTCTACGATTTAGATGGAATTGTCAGAGCCAGTCGGATTTTCACTTGTCATGCTACAGCGGTGCATCTTTCCTAATCCGTGTTGGAAAAGTTCTCTAGTGTTATAAGGTGATAGAGTTGCCATCATCGCAGGCACATCTACTAGGCTTCAACTCTAAAACCCAGGCAAACAAGGCAAATCAAGGAAAAATACCAAACTCTTCATAACTTATTCTACACAAAGAAGACAATCTGTCAAACCAAACCAAGCTTTCCCCTAAATTTCCATGCCGAATCCCTCAAGGACGCGACCTCCTTCGATTCGGGCACAATGGTTGTTCCCAAGAGTCCTCTTGACGCACACGCAAATTCCGGGAAATAAGTTGGCAGGGCTTTAAACATTCCCGGGAAAATCCACGCATGTGAAAATCCTCAGAGGCTGCAGCTGCCGACTCGAATATACATATGTGCCTGCCTGGGGACATTAAAATAATGTTTAGCGCGTGATTTGGTCGGCATATCCTTGGCATCAATTGTCAGCTCTCAGCCGAAGGGCAAGTTTATCGGGCGGGGCGGCGGCGCACCTGTGGGAAAGCTTCGGGAGCGGAATGACATCGAGCTCCCCGCTGCCAACATCAATAACACTAATGGGAAAAGGATAAAGATAAGCATTAAATAACACACGTTCGCCGGGCCTTTTGGGGCTTACAGATGGGAAAACCCCACCGAGAAGGGCCTACCGTGTGGGATGTAGTGCTGCCAACTGGAAATCGCTAGAAATAGCCAAACTGAGGTGTTGTCTAATCGTTCTGCAATACTTTTTTCATTGTAATATATTCGAAGAAAACAAAACCCATCAAATGTATAGCAATTCGTTTTAGTTATTTCCTTGTAACTGTAAGCACAGCTGCAAGCCAACAAAAGTATGAATTGCTGTTTCTATCGTAAATTTATTTCAGTAAAATATTTTGTTTTTAAATAAAATTCACTGAATAAATTTAGATAGCTATTTTCCAAAACGACTCCCTAACTAATAAAGGGATGTCAAATCAATCTGAGGTACACACAGCGAAAAAGGCGCTAGGTTGGCAGTGGTGACCCAAAATTTGTGGGTGGACTGTGCCTCGAGGGCCACGTACGTGGAACAGTTAAGCGACACGTTCCATCCAACGCCCCCGATGCCGCACACCCTCGGCCATCTTTTGTTTGCTCTGCGCATTTTTCACATTTCGCGTTTCCGCTTCCGCTTTTCGCCATTGTCGCTGTGACTCCGCCGAAAGAAATGTGTCACACACGTGAGCAATTTAAAGCCTTGGTACGGCTTCCTCTCGCCTCATTTCGATTGCAAACTTAATTTGAAAACTTGGCCTCGCGGCGTGTAAATATGCGTTCAGGATGCGAAATTTATGGCAGCGCTTGGGGCCAGGAATATGCAAATTTCCCTCACTGTTCGTAAGCATTGATTTCCCTGGCTTGAGTGAGTGATGCTGATGGAAAGCGCCTAGGGCTGATAGATTGAACGACATGTTCCCCAAAGGTGCCTATATTATCAGTGGTTACCCCGAGAATGGAATAAATTTCAAGATAAAATTGTACATATATGTAATAATTAGTAGCACCTATATTATAGTGAAGCTAGATTCCTATCGCAATTACTCGATTGATGAAACGAACCGACTCTTTCAAGCGGTAATGCCGTAATTGTCCTAGCCACTGAGATGGGCTGCCATGTGCCTCAGGACGTGACTATAGAGTAGAGGACGGACATCCTTGGAGATCGTGAAGTCGAAGTGGGAGAAGCCATCGAAACTGACTTTCCGGCTCTCGACTAGATTGGGCAGACGCTCCTGCAGCCGGATCACGTCCGAGGTGGATCCCAGCCAGTCGCCTCCGCCGTGATGGAGCACCACTTTGCTGATCGTCTGCGAAAGATTGTAGGCAGGTGGCTCGCTGGACTCGTAGCGAACGCGATTCAGGACGGCTCCATGATCGAATCGCTGGAAATTCAGGTCACCCTGCAGCTGTGCATAGTGGTAGATCTGTTTGGCAGAGGCGCCTTGGGACGCATGGGCAGCCACAATGGGAGTGAGGGTCTAAGGTGCATTGGAGATGTAATGAGATCGGAGAAAATAATCTAAAATCTCACCTCGTTGAAGCTCTTCCAATCGAATCCGCAGAGCACAAAGTCAAAGATGGCGCAGATGCGGCTGGCAAGCTCTGAGCCGGAGCAAATGTGCTGGCGGAACTGCTGGATAAGCCTCGTTTTCGCTGAGATCTCGTAGCCGCCCAGAAGATTCAGAAGCATCTATACAAATGGTCGGAACAAATATATCGCAATTAGATGTTTTTAACGCTTTGTCACGTTTTTTCTTCATGGCAGACTTATAACGAGAAATATATATTGATTAATTAGCAAAGAATGATAATGAAAAATTGCCAATCAAGGACTCCCACTCACCGAATACTTTCCCTTGAACATTCCGAGGAACTTTAGCACTGGACTGCGGTTTTCCCGCAGATAAACCGTTGGGGAAAGGGCTTGCATTAGATGCACCTTATGTGCATATTTGGGTCTTTCACTGCACATCACGAAGAATACAGTGGAGCCCTGCGAATGGCCAATGTATTGGATCTTCGGCTTATGGGTGCGAACCAGAATATGATCGATGGCAGCGGGTACATCAAACTTGCCGATCTCGTGGAAGGAGAAGTCCCAGTACTTTCGTGGTCGCAGTCGTCGATTAAAATTCTCGCGGGAGTATTTGTTGCCTCGGGTATTCAGCATCCAGACGTCGTAACCCTTCCGGTAAAGGATATATGCCAGTCCATCCTTGGGTCCAAGTTCCACCCATGAGGCAGAACTGGCCAATAGGCCATGGACCAGCAAAACTGGCACAGCACCAGGACGCGGAATACGATGCAAACAAAGCTTGTAGCCGTCTTCGGAGGTCACGTAATTGGTCTCAGATGGATAGCCGTATTTCTCAATGAGGTCAACCTATTATTTTTGTTAAAAGGGTAATCAATACGCATAGGAACAGAGTAATAGATGTTTCAACTCACAGTTGTCAGCCTAGAATTATCCAAAATTTCCGCATGCGTGAGGTAATTTGGTGGATTGTATACTTCGTATTCAGACGTAACCACATTGATTTTAGCATTTTTAAAACGATTTAGTCGATTGGCTTCAGCTAAATTTTCCTGATGTGGGAAAGGCCCATGAATGTGTATTAGCGACTCTGGTAAGGCCGTTCTGTCTATCTGTGACCTTGCCTGTAACTGCGATTGGGACTGTGATCCTAAAGACTGGGAATTAAGCTGTGACTGCGATTGGGACTGTGAACCAGAAGCTTGTGAATCTAACTGTGACTGCGATTGGGACTGTGAACCAGATAATTGTGAACCTAGCTGAGACTGGAATTGGGACTGTGATCCAGTTGAGTCGGAGCGTAACTGTGTCTGCAACTGGGACTGTGATCCAGATTGGGCGTCTGACTTTGAACCAAGCTGTGACTGCAACTGGGACTGTGATCCAGAAGATTGTGAGCCCAGCTGTGACTGAAATTGGGACTGTGATCCAGTTGAGTCGGAGCCTACCTGTGTCTGCAACTGGGACTGTGATCCTGATTGACCGCCTGACTTTGAATCAAGTTGTGACTGCAACTGGGACTGTGATCCTAAAGACTGGGAATTAAGCTGTGACTGCGATTGGGACTGTGAACTAGAAGCTTGTGAATCTAACTGTGACTGCGATTGGGACTGTGAACCAGATAATTGTGAACCTAGCTGAGACTGGAATTGGGACTGTGATCCAGTTGAGTCGGAGCGTAACTGTGTCTGCAACTGGGACTGTGATCCAGATTGGGCGTCTGACTTTGAACCAAGCTGTGACTGCAACTGGGACTGTGATCCAGATGATTGACCGCCTGACTTTAAATCAAGCTGTGACTGCAACTGGGACTGTGATCCAGAAGATTGTGAGCCCAGCTGTGACTGAAATTGGGACTGTGATCCAGTTGAGTCGGAGCCTAACTGTGACTGAAACTGGGACTGTGATCCAGATGATTGGGCGTCTGACTTTGAACCAAGCTGTGACTGCAACTGGGACTGTGATCCGGAAGATTGTGAATCTAACTGTGACTGCAACTGGGACTGTGATCCAGATGATTGACCATCTGACTTTGAATCAAGTTGTGACTGCAACTGGGACTGTGATCCAGAAGATTGTGAGCCCAGCTGTGACTGAAATTGGGACTGTGCTCCAGTTGAGTCGGAACCTAACTGTGACTGAAACTGGGACTGTGATCCAGATGATTGGGCGTCTGACTTTGAACCAAGCTGTGACTGCAGCTGGGACTGTGATCCAGAAGATTGTGAGTCCAGCTGTGACTGAAATTGGGACTGTGATCCAGTTGAGTCGGAGCCTAACTGTGTCTGCAACTGTGACTGTGATCCAGATGATTGACCGCCTGACTTTGAATCAAGCTGTGACTGCAGCTGGGACTGTGATCCAGAAGATTGTGAATCTAACTGTGACTGCAACTGGGACTGTGATCCAGAAGATTGTGAGTCCAGCTGTGACTGAAATTGGGACTGTGATCCGGTTGAGTCGGAGCCTAACTGTGTCTGCAACTGGGACTGTGATCCAGATGATTGACCGCCTGACTTTGAATCAAGCAGTGACTGCAACTGGGACTGTGATCCAGTAGATTGTGAGTCTAGCTGTGACTGCAGCTGGGACTGTGATCCAGAAGATTGTGAGTTCAGCTGTGACTGAAATTGGGACTGTGATCCAGTTGAGTCGGAGCCTAACTGTGTCTGCAACTGGGACTGTGATCCAGATGATTGACCGCCTGACTTTGAATCAAGCTGTGACTGCAGCTGGGACTGTGATCCAGAAGATTGTGAGTCCAGCTGTGTCTGAAACTGGGACTGTGATCCAGATAATTGGGCGTCTGACTTTGAACCAAGCAGTGACTGCAACTGGGATTGCGATCCAGAAGATTGTGAATCTAACTGTGACTGCAACTGGGACTGGGATCCAGAAGATTGTGAGTCCAGCTGTGACTGAAATTGGGACTGTGATCCAATTGAGTCAGAGCCTAACTGTGACTGAAACTGTGACTGTGATCCAGATGATTGGGCGTCTGACTTTGAACCAAGCAGTGACTGCAACTGGGATTGCGATCCAGAAGATTGTGAATCTAACTGTGACTGCAACTGGGACTGTGATCCAGAAGATTGTGAGTCCAGCTGTGACTGAAATTGGGACTGTGATCCGGTTGAGTCGGAGCCTAACTGTGTCTGCAACTGGGACTGTGATCCAGATGATTGACCGCCTGACTTTGAATCAAGCAGTGACTGCAACTGGGATTGCGATCCAAAAGATTGTGAATCTAACTGTGACTGCAACTGGGACTGTGATCCAGAAGATTGTGAGTCCAGCTGGGACTGAAATTGGGACTGTGATCCAATTGAGTCAGAGCCTAACTGTGACTGAAACTGTGACTGTGATCCAGATGATTGACCGTCTGAATTTGAATCAAACTGTGACTGCAACTGGGATTGCGATCCAGAAGATTGTGAATCTAACTGTGACTGCAACTGGGACTGGGATCCAGAAGATTGTGAGTCCAGCTGTGACTGAAATTGGGACTGTGATCCGGTTGAGTCGGAGTCTAACTGTGTCTGCAACTGGGACTGTGATCCAGATGATTGACCATCTGACTTTGAATCAAGTTGTGACTGCAACTGGGACTGTGATCCAGTTAAGTCGGAGCCTAACTGTGTCTGCAACTGGGACTGTGATCCAGAAGATTGTGAGTCCAGCTGTGACTGAAATTGGGACTGTGATCCAATTGAGTCAGAGCCTAACTGTGACTGTGATCCAGATGATTGGGCGTCTGACTTTGAACCAAGCAGTGACTGCAACTGGGATTGCGATCCAAAAGATTGTGAATCTAACTGTGACTGCAACTGGGACTGTGATCCAGAAGATTGTGAGTCCAGCTGTGACTGAAATTGGGACTGTGATCCAATTGAGTCAGAGCCTAACTGTGACTGAAACTGTGACTGTGATCCAGATGATTGACCGTCTGACTTTGAATCAAGCTGTGACTGCAACTGGGATTGCGATCCAGAAGATTGTGAATCTAACTGTGACTGCAACTGGGACTGTGATCCAGAAGATTGTGAGTCCAGCTGTGACTGAAATTGGGACTGTGATCCGGTTGAGTCGGAGCCTAACTGTGTCTGCAACTGGGACTGTGATCCAGATGATTGACCGCCTGACTTTGAATCAAGCTGTGACTGCAACTGGGACTGTGATCCAGAAGATTGCGAATTTTGCTGGGACTGTAATTGTTTTCCTGAGGAGAGTGATGTAATTTGGGACTGTATTTGGGAAGGTGATCCTAATGGAAATGGGTTCTCAACGGCTGGGATTTCTGGTCTTAGTTGGAGATCAGTAGGTAAATTAAAAGGATTTCGTTGCTTTAGTTCCATTATCTGTCTCTCCAATTGGTCAACTTTACGATCCCTATCTTTTTTATATTGGATCCATTTAAGTAATTGATCAGTGTGAAAGCTGGGGTTCGATTTTATCTGTTTCGGTGAATTCCATATATAAACATTGGGTCTTGGATCTAGTTGAGGATTAATTATCAGTAAACGTGGGTCTAATTCCTGAGGTTGAGGAAGTATGATAAATGGATTCCGGCGTCTGCTGGTTGACCAATTCGGAATTATCACCTTACGATGATTTGGGTTCTGCTGAACTGGCCAATTCTGAGTTGGAAATAGCACATACTGAGGTTGCGGCTGTGGTAGCGAATCAAAGATATAAATTGGTTGCTTTGATACTGGCGGAATTGAGTGACCAACATCGAACTTCTGGATTTCAGCCTGTTGTTGGTCCTGTAATTGCGACTGTGACTGACGATTAGACTCTAACTGTGATTGTATCTGTGGTTGCAACTGGGACAGTAACTGTGACTGGTACTGGGACTGTTTCTGTGCCGGCGTCTGTTCCTGTGTCTGCGACTGTTCCTGTGACTGTAACTGCTTCTGAATTAAGTTGTGTGATACTTTGTCTGAATCCGGTATTAGCAGAAGCTGAGGCTTTTGTAAGATCTCTGGGACCAGAGGCCGAGCAATCGCTTCCTCCGAAAGACGTTTAATGCCATTAAATGGTTGACCTCTACTTAGAGTAGCATCAGATGGCAGTATCTGTGACTCCAGCTGCGATTGCGATTGCGATTGAGATTGCGACTGTGCAAAATTATCCAGATTTTGAGCGTTTACTCCAATTTCCTTATATTAAAACACCGGATTATGCAGATGCTTCAAGTGAATTTCAACTGTTTCAACTAGTGCTTACCAATCCCTGTAGTTTTAACAAAGGATTCGCATATGGCCCCCATAGCTGAGAGTTGCCTGGTTCCACATTACCTAGTAAAAAGAAAGCACAGACCGAAAGACCTAATATGATAGTCATTCCGTTTCTCAACTTACATTGCATAGCGAAGGAATCGAACGTTTATATAGGTTAAAAGATACAAGACCTTGAAATTAAAATATCCATGCTTGGAGTGGAAAACTAAATTAACATACCGATGTTGCATCACTAAAAACAATTTAACAAAGGTTGCCAGCCGGATAACCTTGAAAAAGTCTTTATAGGAGTGTTAATAAAATTCTTGGCTCCTGGCGTTAAATATATCCACAAGACATCATTTCGTAGTATAGATATGAGTAACTACTTAAGCCTTTTTGGTCAATAGTATTTTCAGAATTGATGGCTTGCACATACGGAAATTTCTGCAGTGAAATGTACTTAACGCCGTATTATATTAGTTTAGTTAGTTTATAGTTTCCCAAACTGTTAAGAAATATTATATGATCAAGACAAGTATTTTTTCCTTCTCCCCAGAATTCTTATTCCTGAAATTATTCGCTAAAATGGATATACATATTTTTAAATAGCACAGCTTTTAATTTAGTTATTTATTTTTGCAATATAAGGTACATTCGATGGCGAGCCATCAAATAAAGACAATTTGATATCTGTGCCAAGAAAATCGAATAACTGCTTTGCTAATATATCATTTGTAAAGTAAAAGTACACTTAGTTTTCTAAGCAATTAACGATATGAACCGCACAGATCGATTACGCGATCGTACACCAAGGGTCGAACGTGCTTCGAGATCGTGAAGTCGAAGTGAGAGAATCCATTGAAGCCAATGTTCCTGTTTTCTATGCAGTTGGGCAGGTTCTGCTCGAGCCGAAGGACATCCGATTCGGATCCCAACCAGTCGCCATCTCCGCGGTAAAGTGCCACCTTGGAGAGTGCCAGGGATAGGTTGTAAATTGGGGGGAAGATGGAATTGTAGCGTAGCTTATTCAGTATAAGGCCGTAATCGTATTTTTGGAAAACAGAATTGCCCTGCATCTGGGCGAGATGATAGAGCTGCTTGGCGGAGCTTCCCTGCGAAGCGTGTCCTTGCAAAATGGGGAATAGTGTCTACAGAAGAGTAACATTAACCCATGAAATCCAAATCAGTTATAAATTGCCCACCATATTGATACTGTTGAAGTTAACTCCGCAAACCACAAATTCAAAGATGGCGCAAATGCCACTGTACAACATTTTGTTGCAGATGTGGTGACGGAACATGTCAACAATCTTGTTTCTTGCGGAGATCTTGTGGCCGCCTAGCATATTCAACAACATCTATAGAAGAAAATGAAGAACATTAAATATACATATATAATATTCTTGGAATTTCCTGCACTCACTGTGAAGCCACCTCTAAATAATTTCAAGAACTGGAGTACTGGACTGCGTTGTTTTTCCATATAAACTGATGGCGAGAGGGACTGCATCAGTGAGATCTTGGTGGCATACTCTGGCCTTTCGCTGCACATCACAAAGAAGGCCGTGGATCCTTGCGAGTGACCAATGTACTGGATGCTCGGCATTTTGGTCTGCAGCAGAATCAAGTCGATGGCTGCGGGTAGATCGTACTGCCCGATCTCGTGGAAGGAGAAGTCCCAGAAGGCCTTGTCGCTCTCGCGTCCGGCCAGGTGCTCCTCGGAATAGATGTTACCTCTAGTGTTCAACATCCAGACGTCGTAGCCGTTTTGAGACAGGATGTAGGCTAGGCCCTGAGATGGCCCGAACTGCACCCAACTGTCCGAGCTGGACATCAGGCCATGGACCAATAGGACGGGTGTGGCCCCAGACTTCGGAATTCGATGTAGGCAGAGTTTGTAGCCGTCGGTAGTGAATGCGTAATGGGTCTCTACTTGATGTCCATATTTTGAGATCAAGTTCGGCTGTCAAACGATAGAAAAATATATAGAAACCTTCATTCCACTTGCTGTGGAATGGCTCACCGCGTCCAACTTGGCGTCAATCCCGATGTCCTCTTCCGCAATGTATTGTGGGTATCTAGGTTGCTGGCACTTTGAACATGTCCTCATTTGATGAGGATATGAGGGGTAACTGGGATTCTGCGGTAAAACTTGGACATTACTTGGTAATTGTGATTGCCATTGACTCTGAAATTAGAATTACGCGTGATTGAGCATGCGATTATAGTTAATAGGTGATTGAGCTGGTCCTAAATTAAAATAAATAAATACATTTTGTGATTGTGATTGAGTATAACCGTGTGGTGAAGCATGGGTGTGAGTTAGTAGTTGTACTAACGATTTAACTATTAGAACTGAGTGGCGTATTGTAGCGGTTCAATTTGAGATTGAACTTTTCTCCTATTTAAACTTGGTTATAATTGATTTGGCATTTTATTCGCCACCTTCGATGGGATTTAGGTATAAAGTCCTGATATGTGGAAGGTTCCGGAGATTAGGACTTATAAGGCTGCTTATCTTACTGTGCGGATCGTGAGGGGATCTGTGATTGCGCAAAAATATCTATATTCTTACCATCTTTTGACACCCTTAAGTGAATTGCATTCTTGTGTTTACCTGAAACTGCCGTTGAGTCTTGCTGGGTAAGACATTACCGAGTAAAATGATTGCACAGATCGCCAATTTAAATGCGATCGCCATTCCGTTACTTTCTTCTTTACTCCCAATGGAATGAAATGAAATCGAAGTCTTTTATAGGATAATTTATAAACTACCTTGAAATTCAAATGTTCACGCCTGGAGTGAATAACTAGATTAACAATAATTCTTAAATTCGTAAATCCTGTAGATAAATAAATTGAATGTTTTCCAGCATCAAGATGGAAAGATTTCGTAAGATAAGGGGCTTGAGTTACAGATCGAACATTATTAGTCGTAAGGATATATTATAATAGATATAAACGATATAATGCTGTAGTCGAGTTCCTCGACTATCAGATAGCCGTTACTCAGATAGTGCAAGTGCCAGCGAGAAATTTAAACATTTTCTGGAATATCGGCAGAAATTAAGGAACAAATAATAAAATGAAAAAAAAAATTAGATATTTTTTAGAAGTGCGAACGTGGAAAAAAGTTTTTTGCAAATCTATAGAAATTTACAAGATATAAAAAAACAAGATATATTATATAAAAAAGTGAAAAATAACAACATTTTTCAAAAGTGTGGGCGTGCCAGTTTTGGACGGTTTTTGGGCATAGGAGTGGGCGTGGCAGCAAACTTGCGCTGTGTCTATGTCTCTGGATCCGCATTAACATTCTAGCTTTGGTAGTTCCTGGAATCGACGCGTTCATACGGACAGACAGACGAACATGGCCAGTTCGACTCGGCTAATGATCCTGATCATGATCCTAATGATCCTGATCAAGAATATATATACTTTATATGGTCGGAAACGCTTCCTTCTGGCTGTTCCATACTTTTCAACGAATCCAGTATACCCTTTTACTCTACGAGTAACGGGTATAAAAATGTATCGTAAGGATTCAGAATTTATGATTAATTTGCGACACAAAAAATTAAACGGGTCTAATATAAAAACGAACACATCACTTTAAACACCGATCCCTTTTATTTTTCTTACTTTATTCATTTCCATTCATCGATTGCCACAAGAAAAAGCTTGTAATTGCCGCGAAAATCGTAAAATATCTTTAGAAATTATAAATTATATTTATTGGCGAGCCCTTAAATAAAGACAATTTTATATCTGTGTCTGCGTACCTCCTATGGGGAGCCTTGATTGAACTTGCGTTTGACCTTGTGATTGTAATCGCCCTGACCTTTGGAATTGGAGTTTTTCTTGATTAAGCCTCTCATTGAGAACTTGTGAATTTGATGGGGTCTGTGATTGGGCTGCCCCTTGCGATTGTGATTGAGCTTGTTCTTCGACTTGCTCATGGGCTTGGGTTAGAGATCGTACAAGCGCTTCAGCTGTTTGAGTTTGGGCTTGTTGTTGTGCTTGAGAAAGTGGTAGGCCAGAAGCTTGACTCTGTGATTGAAGTTGCTCTTGTATTTCGGTTTGGGCTTGATGTAGTGATTGGTCCAAAGCGCTATCTTGCGCTCGATCCACTGCTTGAAGTTGATCTTGAGATTGCCACTGAAGTTCACCATTCGCTTGACCCGAAGCTTGATTAGGCGTTTGGTCTTGTGATTGGTATTGCGTCTGCGATTGTTCCAAAGCGGCATCTTGAACTTGATCCTCGGATTGAAGCTGTGGTTGTTGTGGTGATTGAAGAAGTGCATTTCGTTGTGCTTGACGCTGAGATTGATATTGAATACGCGCTTCTTCCAGAGCCTGATCGAGAACTTGAGCTTGCGTTTTAGCTTGAGCCTGTGATTGAGCGTCACTCTGTGACAGAACTTGATTTTGTATTTCATCTTGGGCTTGATGAAGTGATTGATCTACGGGGTCTTCTTTTGCTTGATCCTCTGCCTCAAGTAATGACTGTGATTGAGATTGGGATTGATATTGAATACGCGCTTCTTCCAGAGCCTGATCGATAACTTGAGCTTGCGTTTTAGCTTGAGCCTGTGATTGAGCGTCACTCTGTGATAGAACTTGATTTTGTATTTCATCTTGGGCTTGATGAAGTGATTGATCTACCGGGTCTTCTTTTGCTTGATCCCCTGCCTGAAGTAATGATGGCTGTGTTGATGGAGGCATTGCTAATTCTTGTGATTGAGATTGGGATTGATATTGAGTATGCGCTTCTTCCAGAGCCTGATCGAGAACTTGAGCTTGTGTTTTTGCTTGAGGCAGTGATTGAGAGTCACCCAGTGACAGAAGTTGGTTTTGTATTTCATCTTGGGCTTGATGAAGTGATTGATCTACGGGGTCTTCTTTTGCTTGATCCTCTGCCTCAAGTAATGACTGTGATTGAGATTGGAATTGATGTTGAGTATGCGCTTCTTCCAGAGCCTGATCGAGAACTTGAGCTTGCGTTTTTGCTTGAGCCTGTGATTGAGCGTCACTCTGTGACAGAACTTGATTTTGTATTTCATCTTGGGCTTGATGAAGTGATTGATCTACGGGGTCTTCTTTTGCTTGATCCTCTGCCTCAAGTAATGACTGTGATTGAGATTGGGATTGATATTGAGTATGCGCTTCTTCCAGAGCCTGATCGAGAACTTGAGCTTGCGTTTTTGCTTGAGCCTGTGATTGAGTCTCACTCTGTGACAGAACTTGATTTTGTATTTCATCATGGGCTTGATGAAGTGATTGATCTACCGGGTCTTCTTTTGCTTGATCCCCTGCCTGAAGTAATGATGGCTGTGTTGATGGAGGCATTGCTAATTCTTGTGATTGAGATTGGGATTGATATTGAGTATGCGCTTCTTCCAGAGCCTGATCGAGAACTTGAGCTTGTGTTTTTGCTTGAGGCAGTGATTGAGAGTCACCCAGTGACAGAAGTTGGTTTTGTATTTCATCTTGGGCTTGATGAAGTGATTGATCTACGGGGTCTTCTTTTGCTTTATCCTCTGCCTCAAGTAATGATGGCTGTGTTGATGGAGGCATTGCTAATTCTTGTGATTGAGATTGGGATTGATATTGAGTATGCGCTTCTTCCAGAGCCTGATCGAGAACTTGAGCTTGTGTTTTTGCTTGAGGCAGTGATTGAGAGTCACCCAGTGACAGAAGTTGGTTTCGTATTTTAAGTTGGGCTTGATGAAGTGATTGATCTACGGGGTCTTTGTTTTCTTCATACTCTGCTTTAAGTAATGATTGCAGGGAAAATCCTTGATCCTGGGCCTGCGATTGAACTTGCGATTGTGCTTGACCTTGTGACTGTGCTTGATCCTGCAATTGAATTTGTGACTGTGCCTCATCTTGGACTTGATGCTCTGCTATGCTTTCCGATTTCTCTGACGATTGAGCCAGCCTGTTTTGATCTTGAAGGTCTGCCCATTCTCGATTAATAGCATCAGCTTGTGATTGAGCTTGAACCTGCAGTTGGGATTGCCCTTGTATTTTACCTTGGGTCGACCGTTTAAGTGATTGTTTAAGCTGGAACTGTTGCTGTGATTGAGCCAATCCTTGTCCTTCCCGCTTAAGCTGCGTTTGGAACTTACTAGCTTGATTTGCGGATTGGAATTGTTGCTGTGATTGATCCAGTCCTTGACCTTGAGCCTGCATTTGGGATTGCTTTTGGAATTGAAGCATCGTTTGTGCCAGCGCTGGCTTAAACGATTGGGCATGAGATTGAGTTTGAGACTGTGATTGACTGAGCGATTGATCTATAGCATTTCTGAGAAGTTTCATATAAAACTCCCGCATTTCTGTTATAGATGTTTGCGAACTCCGTATCTTTCGTATTTGGGAAGTGGTGAAGTTTCGGAAAAGCTGTTTAAGTGTAATACCCCGATTGTATAGTTGCTTTGTATCACGATCTAACACCAAATATTTCACGTCGCCAATAGACTTTTGGTCTGGCTTATCTATGTCGGCAATGAGTTGAATGACGGGAACTGTGATCATATCCATTGACATCCTCACATCTGAGCTATCTTTTACAACAGATCGCCCATCTCCCGTTGATGCTGGGCGGCCATAGACACTCAATAAACTGTCTAGCGCAGGAAGTAATGGAGCGCCTATCAGAGTGCTTAATTGATTGTTTATATCAATAATTCCCTCGCTGGGATTCACTTGAAATATCGCAAAGAGTGCGACGAATGCGTAAGGGAACCCAACCTGCATTCTGAAGCTACTTTGAGCAGCGAATCGGACAAGAACCTTTTATAGGCTCGCAGATAAAATGCCATGAAATTGATAACACATGGATTAAAGCGATTTTAAATGGATTATCTCTCGATGTTACATCACAAATGGCAATTGAGTTGGGACAGCAGGAAATGCAGGTTTCTTGAAACCCTTTTTAGTTGAATATCCAGGAAAATGTGATTTTTATCTTACTCAGAACTTAGAGTAACTTCCCTATTACGAGCAATACCTTTCACAAGAATTAACTGAAGTTTGGGGCTTGCTGCTTTAATTCGCCTGCTTAGCCATTTAAATCGAACTTATAAGACTAGTTAAGCCAAGTAAAGGAATTTTAATGTTTGCGTATTCTGATTAATAACAATCTAAAATCATTAAAAAGTAAATCAGTGACTTAGAGAAAAGCCATAGAGAATTTAAGGCGCTTTTGTTTAAGGAAAGTTTCTGAACTTTTGCCAATCTAATTGCACAAGTGCACGAGGCGCAACCGTTATTATCCTTGGTCCTTGTTTCGTCCTTGTTCCGGTGGCGTTGGCAAATTCACGCCACTCGCTTGTTTGCGCAAATTTGATTATCAAAATACCCAAGCAGAGTGCAGCCGCGGTCGGAAAAGTCGGGAAGAAGTCGCGAAAGGAAGAAGGATAATGCCATGTCGCCGCATTAGCGCCTCTGATGGGTTGGGGTGGGCGTGGGCGTGGTCGTCGTGCCGTGAAACAAGCTGGAAATCGAGTTTGCCTAGTGTCCTTGCGCCCTTTAATGCCACCCCTCCTGCCCGTTTTCTAGCCCTTTTGCCTGCTGGGCTGATTAAAGCTCCATGCCAACTTGCGGTGATTTGCTCTTTTTTCTGACTCGTCATTTGGATGCAGTGGCGCCCTGCACAAATGGGGCATTAAGCCCTCCGATGTCGGGACCTGACATATATTAAATTTCATCTGGTCCTCAGTCGGATTCGGATGCGGATGCGGAATCGGATGCGGAATCGGGCGCCTAATGAAGGTTAAGCAACTTTTAATGTCCCGGGCCAGGCCATTTTGCAGACCATTAAATGTTTCGCCTGGCAATATGCCATATGTTTCCAGCATGGACATAAGCCCCATGTCCGGAAAATGCTCGCTACGTTCTGCAAAAACTTTACTTATCATTTCAGCGCCAAAAGCCATAAAGACGCTCGCTAAGTCTGCGTGTGTTTGTGATGACACGACGATGACAGTAATCGTAATCCTAGTCATGGCAATGATGACACTGGAGCGCTCAGCCCGCAGCCATGCCATATAAGCATATGGCGGTTGGGCTCGAGGAATCAGGCTGGCCAGACGCTTAACGGTCATGTGGAGGGCTAACGAGCGATTTCACCCTTTATGGCCTGAATTTGGATGCCATCGGTTATCGGATTCCGTCACGAGTATTTTCAATTAGTAATACCACTGTGGAAATCGGTTTCACTGCCGTATCGCATGGATATGAGTGCTCTTTGTGTTATTAGTTCTTGTGGCACTCAGCGTAGTTTGTTTGGCTTCCCACACATGTAGTTCCACTCACCTCTAGTGTCACGCCCGATGGACACCTTCCGGCCTCGCAGTCAATCGCAGTTGGTGTGACTTTCGACTGGCGCAGTTGCTCCTCAGCTGAGTTCAATCTTCGATCGGACCCCTTTGCACTCGAGCAGAACAAGACGCAGTCCTAAGTGGTATGAAGACTTTAACATTCGAACTTGGGCGCACTGAAACAAGTAAGGGGGTCGATGTTGGACTTTAAAATGGATGAGTCGTTTTCGTCAAAGAAATAATACCAGCGCATTCAGAAACCGCCTTTTAAGTAGTTTCCTTCAGGAAATCAATCGTAAATTGATGTGAGTGAGATTTAAGTGCCATGTATTTCTCCGCAGTGTAGTTTTTCCATGTTCACACAACAACAAGACCTTTCCCTGACACTCCCCTCTGTAATTTCATGCTCCATTGGCCACAGAAATCGCCACACAATCAAAGGAAAAGCTTCGCCCTGTTAGCTAAGGCTTGAAATATACAACTACCGCGCTGAATGCTAACAATTTGGCCCACATTGTGGCACTTCGGGCGTCTCGTGAAATATATTTTAATTCCCAGGCGTAATTTATGCACTTCTAAGTTTTTGAAACGAGACTCCTGCATTCTGCGCTCCAGCCAACGCAACTTTCGATTGGCGCTTGTCCAGGGTCCTTGTAGCGATAGTTATGCAGTTTCTCCATGGAACGGAGTACTATCTCCAGCTGTCGCTGTTGTTGTTCTTGTCATTGCATTCATGGCCACTTGTTTCCGCTCGCCATTTCTTTCGGCCTTTCTCCGCTCCGCTCCATTCCGTTCCGGTTGGGTCCACTCCACTCCACTCCACTCCATTTTTATTTATTTTGCTCGACTTTTGTATTTCTGTTTGCATTTTTTTAAACACTTTTTCTGTCCCGCGTCGGGCGCCCCAACACGAGAAGTCCATTTCGAAATTTATGTACACACAAATTGAAAGCGCTGCAAGGGACGGAGAGCCGAAATGAAAGAAAGAAAAGTGTTTTGGTACTGGCGGAAAAACGTTGGCTGCATTTCCCGAATTGCAGTTTCGGTGAAAAAGAATTCGGGGCAGAAAATACAGGCGATATGCCTTTAAGTGACACTTGCCAGGAGGTTTTGTATTCCCGATGGGTGGGGTCCTTCTTGGTGGAGGGCAGCAAAACGTTTTGATTGTTGATTTTGCAGGGGAAAGGACGGGAAATAAAACTCGGTTGAAAAGAGATAAGATAATGCTTCGACCACTGGGAAAATGCTTAAATAAAATTACCTAAGCCCTATCCAAAAGGGAACAGTCAAAAAGTCCAAATGAAAGCAATATTTATTGCTATTAAATGTGGGTCTAGATCGTTTGACAGTTCAAGTCATTGTTGGTTATGTTTCCTTTCAAAACTGTATTCAAACCCCTGCTTACCTAGGTATTTCTGCCCTCAAGTAGGCGAATCCAGAATTGCGAGTCCAATGAAGCCATCAAATTCCACGTTACCCATTTACCTTTGAATACTAAACCATATCGCACCCAACAGTTTTAAATTGTGCAAGCGAAGGCACAGCGGCTTTAAGCCCATTCAGGCTAAAACAATAAACAAGCAGCGTAGTTTATTGCCCTCTGAACTTCTGGCCAGAGCGAAAAGTTCACCTCGTTTATAAGTCGGCATTGGCAGTTGCGATTGCTCTTGGCATAAATTAGATGCGGCAGCGGCTGTGGAAATAGGTTGCCATTTGCGCGGCTCCCGGCTTCTGCCTCCAAGTTCCTGGCTCCTAGCGGTGGAGGAGGCGGAGGAGGCTCCATGTGCCGCTCGAGGCGTGTCTTTGTTTCAGCGGCGGTGTCATCCCGGGTTAACCTGGACTGAAATTAACCCAGCTGAGCCCACGAAGCTGCGACCCGCTTCCTGCCAGTCTCTCTGTCCATCGGTCTGACTGACTGACTGCATTTGCATTTGCATTTCAATGCCCGGCCCTTTTTAAATAGCGCAGCTCTACTGAGAGCAAATGTGAATACTTTGAATAGTATGAAAGAGCTAGTTTGGGCTCATAGATACCTTTTAAAATGTGTTGGTGCTCAAAGATTCACGTTTCAAAGAAGAAAACATTGTATCTTAAGCTGGCAGCTTGAAGCCACGAATATCTAAACACGACTGCTTGGTATTAATATGTTACAATACTACGAAGGACTCCACGCACTGAGGTAAAAAGTGTTAAATCTACAAAATATAATAATTTCAGTTAGCTTTTCTCAGTGCTCCTAGTGTATCCCTAATTCTGAACTCAATTATCGCTGAATGCGCGACTGGCAACTTTGTCTTGTGCATGCTAATTTCATTACAATGCAGCTAAGGGGTCCTTGCCCAGCCGCAGGACCCAGCTCAATGCCCAATGAATTATGATGGACGTCGTCATGAGTGCGGCACACTCACACACCCAAGCAGTCGATGTGTGTGCGCGTGTGTGTTGGCCATGTTTATCTCTCTGGCCAACGTACACTTAGCACATTTGTCGGGGACTGCGGGAGGATGTGGGCGGTGGGCGGTGGGCGTTTGGCACACACGCTATCAGTAGATTGCTGGCTAGGCGTTTTTGGCCGACACGCCCCTTCGGAAAAGTTGGGAAAGGGCTTAAGGAAGGCCTGATGGCGAAATGAAGTGCTTAACGCCGGGCTACTCGCTATAACGCGCAACTTGCACTGGAAACCAAGTATTTGCTAATTTAAAAAGATACACGAGTATATATATTTAACTACAGCGTGCCAGGCAATCTTATTTCTAAAAAAAGAATGACATTAATTAATATGATTATTCAATGCATGATTTAATACCTCAAATTCTAGCTCCCAAAAGGGTTGCATTCGCACTCCTCTGCAGTTGAAGTGTAAAGCTAGGCGTTGTGGTGGAGAACCCTTTGGCCGCGCCACTTCATTATAAACATTTCTCAATTGATTATCGTTAGTTTTCCATGGGGGCTCCAACTCGTGTGGGGCAGGATTGCATGTGGATGTGTGATAATGCCATAATTATGCCCCTGCCTTGGCGTGCTCAACGCTACGGCTCGTGTTATAGTTGCGGCTTTTCCTCGCCGATTATATTTGCACGCATGTCCCTTTTCGCTGCCTATCCTTCGAGCACCACCCAACCACCCAACCACCCACTCACCCCCCCCCCTTTACGCCGTGTTTTCACGGTTGTCCGGAGTCCGGGATCCGCTTTTTGCATGCGCCTCGAACATTTGAGTAAGCCCCATAAACTGCTCTTGGAATATTTCATTATCGTAATGAAAAGGACTACGGCACATTACATTTATTTCTCGTGCTGTCTCGCAGCGGGTAATCCCGGTCAGATATCGGTATGAAATGGGCAGTGCGATATATTTATAGAAGTCCACATAATGGTCATGCAAAAGCGTAATTCCAAAACCCTTTGTTAAACCTCGAGGGCTTTTTAGTGAAGGCAGCTTAATTCTTTTTTTAAGTGATAGGTAAATGTTGGTATTTGGTAAACTGGCATTATATAAAACAATAGGTTACTTAAATAATAAAGAAGCCCATCTGAGTGATCGGAGAAAAAGAGAATGAGGGATTATTCTGTATATTTAGCAAACGTTTTATGTTCTATGGTCAATGTTTATTTACCCTCAGATTAAAAGTTTTTGAAATGCATACACAAGGCAAGGAATTGCCTCACATTTTGGCATACATTTTCTTTTATTTTTATGGAGCCCAATAATTTATTGCATCCACCCACTCACACTTTTCCACAAATCAACGGCAAATCAATCGATGAGAACAGCTCGATTCCTCCACGCAATTAGTCGGGCAAACAAGTTTTCATTAAATGAGCTTAATTCAATTAATTTATGGCTGCAAATTACGAGTCGTATTAAATTAAATAACGATGCATCTCTTACACGGCCCAAAGTGACACAAGGCTGCAGGAAAAACCTCAGCCGTTGGATATCCGCGGATATAAATTGGAAAATCGATGGCCATCACTCGGCTGCAACTGCAAACTTGTTGGGCAGTGTGAAATCCAACCATGTTTTCAGTTGAAAGTCTTCTCGTTTTCCATAAATTAATCAATTCCGCGGCCACCGGCGCTGTCAGTAGTAATCCTTTATCACTGGCTCACTTTATTGATGGGCCACGAGCGAATGCGGCAGGATTCTCCGGCTCCAGATATTTGTGGACCCCTGACAATACGCAAATAATGGCGTAATTAATGGAAAACGCATCATATTTTTTATTGCCAGAAATTAACAAGCAGTCGACACGTCATAGGGAAGGAGGACAATTGATAGCTGCCATTCGCGCCGATGCCCTTAGTTGAATCAACAATAAATGGCGTTTAATTTTTAAATTAATTAACTTAAGTTCCCTTCCGCATCGCCACTTCATTGCTGCGCGCGCCTATTTTGCATAACTTAAATATTAAATTCGGGAAAATGGCTGAAAATGGGCGAAAATGGCTGAAAGTGGCAGAGATTCAACGACTATGACCCTGAACTTGTCGCACTGCAGAATAAATTTAAGGGCAGATCCAGATCCATGTACTGTGGCACGTGCACAAAAGTAATTACAAAACGCAGACAAAATGGGGGCGGGATCCCCTGTACAGCGAGTGGGCGTGGCCAGGGGCAGTTGAGTGGGGCTGACAGCTAAAAAACGAATTGTAATTGCCTCAGAGCCAAGTTCCGCGCACAGAAAATATTTTATGCCAACTAAAAATGCAAAAAATATTGTTAAGTGATCATTGAGCGAAAAAGTGCAGCAAGGTATACGTGCGTAATTTGTTTGTCAGTGTAATTTTAATTTAAGTTAGAAATACCAACTAAGTGAAATAAATAAGTAACATACAACTTTTTTGATGTATTGAGAAAAGTACTAGCTTTGCACGAACTAGCTCATATCTTGCACTGCTTTTCTCTCAGTGCACCAAGCGAAGCCGCTTGGAAGTGACTACAATATGGCCACCCCGACCCCACTTGTCTGGCCAACACTTGACTATGACCTCTGCTAGAGTGGAAGTTGTTCCTTTGACTGGCTGGCCAACGGAATGGAGTCCTGTTCTGGCCCGGCACCAAAAACTTTGCCAAAGTCGTAAAGTTTCCCAGGCTGACCCCGCGTACCGGCCACCTATTCAATGGGGCTTCACGCACTTTTCTTTTCCCTGGCGCCGTAATGAGCCCAAACGCGGAGCCAGTTGCTCCGTTTCGGCCAAGACAAAGATATCCCATGAAATTTTATGCGCGCGTGATTAAAAGTCACGTGCGTGGCCAACATAAAGGGGTCCTCGATGGGGACTGAGCCGGATTTGAGCAACTGCTGCAGCTAATGCGAGTCCACGACGGGCGAACAATGCTGATCATAATCTCAGCAGACCATGCCAGATGCTGCCACTAACGAGCCTGGAACACTCGAACAGATTTGCTCTGCCCTTCGAGCAGAATCAGGTATCAGGTATTAATGGGCCAAGAACACTACCAGAAGTATTTAAAATAGCACTGAAAATATTTGCTAGCATTGGCATTTCAAAAATATTCAAATAAATATTAAGAGCTTGTCATACAAAAATCCGATTCGGGTTGCACCTTTCATTACCATTTCAAACCACCTTTTCCGCCCAGTGTATTCGCTAGTTGCGCTTAAGGCCAAGAGTTGTGCTCCCATTGTCTCAGTTTAGCTCCCACCAAGGGCTCTTTGGCCAATCGATTGGTCTTGTTTTCACTGCTGGCCAAGCGGGCTTCGTTTTTGGCCAGCACCTCGTCGACTGCAAGTTGCAACACGCTTTCGGCCAGTTGATTGTCCCCTGATTGGCAGTTGGCACCATAATAACACAAATCCACTGGGAAGCGGGCAAATGGCTAATTGTCGTGGCACGCGTCGTTGGGACTTCAAGGAACCGCCTCCTGGTGCGACTATTAAGGCGAGACCAGGAAATTTGGTAACCAAGCTGACAGCTAAATTTGTCGACTGAAAAAAGTGGGTCAAAAGGGCAACGATTTGGTAAAGGTGAGGAACTAACATGGAGGTCTTGCTTAAAGTGATTTATTTCTGATAAAACAGCATTTTGTAAAATTATCCACATTTCAAGAACAATGCTCCCGGCTTGTGGAGCTATCCCAATTGACACTTCTGGGAAATTAATTTTAAGGGCGGCTCAAAAGGCATTGTCCCTTGAAGTTCTCGCCCATCGAGCATGAAACCGAGGCTTCAGCTTCAACTTCAACATCCTGCCAACTGACTTGTGCAGAGCCGCAGACCCACAGAGCCACGCCCCCTGAGCCCTGCGCCCCGCATGCCATGTGATGTCAAGTTGCCATCGCTGCCACTTCAGCCCAGCTCCACCCACTCACACCCACCTCCACCCACTTTTGTGATGGCATTGCCAACATGTGGTGACAACGGCGAATTAAGTTATTTGTCAAATGTCGAAACGTTGGCCGGCACACAGTCACACATCGAGCCTACGAATCCCCCGTCATCGGAGTCGTATCCGAGTCCGATTCGAAAATCCGGACACGGACCGGGTCTAGAAGGGATTGCGCTCCATCCGCGCCGCTTTGTCAGCCTGTCAGTCGTCGTTGTGACAGCAGTTGCTGCAAATAAAGGAGCGGCGAATATTTTATGCGGCAGCCGAAATCAATTTTTGCCAATCAATTGCGAAAAAAGAAAGCGATGACGTGGGCAATGAAAGGGACGAATTCAGATGTTTGGCAAGTGGACACGGTTCACTCCACACTCCGCAACTGAATTAAAAATTAAATTTTCCAATTAAGCCGGCAAACATTTCTAGGATCATACGCTTTTCCAAGTGATCCAATCCAATCCAATCTGATTAAAAGAAGAGCCTTTTGATTTGGCACTAGGATGGCGGCATTAGCACGTAAAAAAACGAATATTAAAAAGGTAAAGATTTACTTAGTGCACTTTATTAATTGAAAAACAATGAGGGGTGATTTAAAACCCATTAGGTACTAGCAAATTAATAGCTGGGCTGAGTAACTGCCCTTTTAAAGGGTAATTAGGTCACTTTTCGTTATGACATTTGACATTCAAGGCACCTCGACTAGCCGTTCCAGCTGATTTACTCGGATTGATTGGTTATTAAATGACTGCAGATCGCAGCATTTAACGCCAGTGGTTACAATGGACTTTGGCCAGTGCCATTTGATAACACTCGTAATTTAAAAACGTTTCCCGTCACATGCAGCCGAAAATGAGCTGGCCACGATTCGATTATACGATAAGCGTAGAAAAAGCACTCAAACCATATTCCGTACTAATTACAGCGCTTTAGTGGCCAGTGAGCGCACTAAACTCGATTTAGTCACGGATCGAACGCCATGCCACATGCGATCTGGTTGCTCGCAGTGCTCTGGGTCTGTGCGCTCCATGACTGCGGGGTTTTGGGTGGATTTATGGAGGATACCTACCCGGCGAGCGTGCTGGAGGATGCCCACCTGAACACGGTGAGTTAGGTGCGTGCCTAATCGGGACCGAGCTCATCAAGCTGCCGCTGTTCTGTTCCGTGTAGATACAGCTGCTGGAGAAGTACAAGCATCCAGCGGAAACCCACCAGGTGACCACGGATGATAAGTATATCCTGACCCTCCATCGCATACCTCGACCTGGGGCCAAGCCAGTGCTGCTGGTTCACGGACTGGAGGACAGCTCTTCCACGTGGATCGTGATGGGTCCACAAAGCGGCCTGGGTTACTTTCTCTACGCCAACGGCTACGACGTCTGGCTGGGTAATGCCAGGGGGAATCGCTACTCCAAAGGCCACGTGAAGCTGAACGCCAATACGGATAAGTCCTACTGGACCTTCTCCTGGCACGAGATTGGCATGTACGATCTGCCGGCGATGATCGATGGTGTTCTGCAGAAAACAGGATACCAGAAGCTGAGCTACTTCGGTCACTCCCAGGGAACCACCTCCTTCTTTGTGATGGCGTCCAGCAGGCCCGAGTACAATGCAAAGATCCATCTGATGAGCGCACTGGCACCCGTGGCCTTTATGAAGCACATGAAGGCGCCACTGATGGGAATGGCCCGCATGGGAATGAACATGTTCGGCGAAAACTTTGAGCTGTTTCCGCACTCGGATATATTTCTCAACCATTGTCTTTCCTCCGCCTCCATGCTGAAGACCTGTATGCGATTCTACTGGCAGATTGTGGGTAAGAATCGGGAGGAGCAAAATATGGTAAGTATTGTAATGAAGCTCCATTTGAAACTCTGAGACAATGCCCATACTTACAGACCATGTTCCCTGTGGTTTTGGGCCATCTTCCCGGCGGCTGCAATATTAAGCAAGCGGTCCACTACCTCCAACTGCAGAAATCCGATCGCTTCTGCCAGTTCGAATACGATTCCAAGGAGAACCAGAGGCTCTACGGACGTTCCACTCCGCCGGACTACCACCTGGAAAGGATCAGCGCTCCGGTTGCCTTGTACTACGGCAGCAACGACTATCTGTCGGCCGTGGAGGATGTGCAGCGATTGGCCAAATTGCTGCCCAATGTGGTCGAGAACCACCTGTACCGCAAGTGGAACCACATGGACATGATCTGGGGCATCAGTGCAAGGCGTTCGATTCAGCCCAGAATTCTGCAGGTAATGCAGTACTGGGAAGCAGGAGGAGGAGCCAAGGATGCCACCACCGGCTCACCCTTGGAGGAGGAAGTGCCCCAGCTGACAACGGAGACTCCGGCCGAGGAAGGAAAACCCGAAACGGAGGATGAAGTTGGCAGTGCCCAGGAGGAGAAGGAAGGTGATGTAGGGGAGTCCGAGCAGGTCAAGGCTACCACCAGTCCTACCTCAGAACTATAGGATCTGTAAGGAACGGATTCAGCATTTTGAAGCATTGATTCGATGGCTCATAAGGTATACGTTGCACAAGATTGTGTTTGCTCAAATGTCAAATTTTGCACTGACTAATAAATGTACTCATGGCTGAAATCAATAAGCTTTGAGTTTATTTAAATAAATAAAAACAATCCATAAATTTTTATTGTAATAGTAACATTGTTTTGTGAACCAATTAAGGCGAATAAAATCCAATTTTTATGATAGAAAAAAGGGTTTGTAATGTAATGAAAATGTTCTCGCTGTTCTCGCTATACATATATGAGTTTCCGAGAGTTTGGAGCGGGATACTGCAGCAATCACGTGCCACATCCGCCACATAGCCCCACTAATACCACCAACTGGAAACGTTTTGGGAATTTGAGAGGGCAACGAGGCGCGAAAACATTTACTCAACGCTTAGCAGCTGCTGGTTAGTTTGCGGGGGCAAGTTTTCCCGGGAGGGAAACCTGGGGGAAAACTGGGGGCATGGGGTGGAGCTGGCGGCTTGTCGGGAGTTGTTCTTGTTCGGCGACGTGCGGCGAAAGTTTTTTATGATTTATGAAGCAGGCGACGATGGAGCAGCTGCTGCAAGTCCTGTGTCCCATGTCCTGTGTCCTGCGTCCTGTCTTCCATCTCTTGTCTGCTGTCTCCGTCGACGGATGCGGATGCGGATGAGGATGCGGATGCGGATGTGAGGAGGGCGCAGCTAAGCGCTTTCCCTTGTTAGTTTCCAACTGCAACCCGGATATAAAAATTGCACTTTGATGCGTTTTCCTGGCACATAACTATTTGCGACTCACATATAAATATAGTGAAAACAATGTGGCGCCGACACAACAAAAGTTTCTTTGGCGGTTTTTCTGCGCCGCGCTCATTAAAATTTCGCTTTTGTCAAACCCACCGAACAATGGAGCATCTCCCCCATAAAGCACTCGCCCCAAAAACATTCTAGAATGCCGACTCTGGCAGTTGACACATGCTGTTTTCCAAGCCATCGTAGTGCTAAAGTTAAGTGTGTAATTTGTGAAAGTGTGTGGTGGGCGATGGGCGGTGCATGAATGCCGAAACAACAAACAGGAATCATATTGTTCGTTGGCGACACATTTCCCGCTTCAAATGCTGTCCCCAGCAAAAATGGGGAACAACTAAACTGGCGAACAAACACGGCAACTCGCTCAGAAATTGGCACAATGAACTGCGGCTTTCGTTGGCTTTTCCACTAATGCGTCACCAAATGAAAAGCGGGGAAAGTGACGATTGCGTGAAAAATAACCATACACTAAACGCTAATTAATATGTGAAAACTGCACAGCTTGTTGATTGTTAATTATTGGTTACAGCTTCAAGCCGCCTTAAATTTGAATGGAATGCTGCAAGAAAAACGCTCTTTAACTTTATTATCATTTTTTTCATATTTATTTCGTTTCTGCTTTTTTAAATAAACTCATTTATATGTGTGCTTGTAGTTGCCCACGCAATTACATTTTTTGCTCTTCGGTTTGTTTGCACTTTACTATTATTACTATTATAAATATTTAAACATGCATAGTACTGGTAATTAACTTTAATTGTGGTTTTGCTGTAAATAGGCTTAAGTTGAAAAGTATAAATAGTCCGTACATACATTGGAATTTAATTTTATGCATTACACCTTAAATAGAAAAAATCTAGAATAGCCGAACGTTTATTAAAAAATACATTAATATTTACAGGAAACTTAGTGGTACATTAAGTATTAATATTCCGATGCATATTTGATTTTATAAGCAAAATTCTTGGCTTAAATTGGTTTTCGTGTTTTTGGGGACATTTATTTTATGCGGCATTTGCAGTGCTCTTAAATGTTGAAAGTTAATAATTTTTGGGAAAATTTTCGTTGATTTTGCAATGGTTGGCTGTGCACATTCAAACGAGGCCTTTTTGCCGTGTTTTCCTACCGTACTTATAAAAAACATGTTCTTTTCAGTCTTTAAAATAAAAACTTCCCACCAACACGTTGATTTTGATTTTATTTAGCCTCAAACAAATGCGTTTGTGTTAGCCATAAACATTAGCCTTAACACACGTACGTGTGATGACATACAAATGCAGATTTTTAGCTACACTAATTGCTAATTGGATTTTACCTTAGTTTTTATTCGCTTGCGTTTAAATTAGATTTGTTTTTTTGGTGTTCGCGATTTTATTATAACTTTTTATTTGCACGGTGCTTGATTTTTGGCTCTATTTTTGTGTTGAAAAACATTGAGAGTTTTGTTATTGTATTTTACATCGAGATACCGTTAAATGCTTTGAATTATTTTTAATAATTACTCTCCGATTTGGCGCAGCGTTTTACAAACAGTGCCTAAAACTACGAATAGAGATACGATTAAATGGAGATATGTCGCTGAACTTTGCCCGAAACTACACGTACACATACACCCATACACCCATATATGTAAGCTGTCTGAGTAAACTGTTCGTATTAAGGTAATGCTATATAGACACCGATAACTGCCAAATGCCAAGCTCTATGTACACAATTTGCTACTCGAAACCCCGTCCGATCCCCTCTAGAAGTAGTCCATCTTGGGCGCGTCCATGGCCGTGTGCATGGTCAGAGTGACGCCCCTGTTGATGCTCACTGCCGGATAGAAGACGCCGTAGAGGTCCCGGAAGGCCACCGATCCTTGCGGCATCTCGTTGACCAGGAAGCTCAGAGTGTGCCTCTCCAGGTCCAGGAGCACTCCGATCGTGCTGCCCGTGGTGATGCCCCCCTCGACTCGCCGCTCGTGAACGGAGTTGTGCTGAAACCAGGATCGCTGGCGGTCGATGTACATGGCGAATGACTTCTCGTCCTTGCCTGAGGATTATATAGAGAAGATTATATACAAGCTGTAATTGGTATCAAGAGTAAGTGGAGCTCCATGAGCTGTACAAATTCATATTTAAAGCAGTCCACCCATCTACCTCGCAGCCTCAGCCCCAAAAATCGACACCCCAATTCGTAGATAATTTGAATGCCCCAAATAAGCTTTGCTCCCCGTTTCCGTGACTTGCTGAACTCAGTTTCAGCTCCGAGTTGCGAACTTTAAACTCCGGCTGGCACGATGGCTCCCCCGACTCGCCGCATCCTTGACTTGTCAGTTTCCCGTCTGTCCTTTCAGTCCTGCGGAATTATAACTGACAAACGCCGGAGCAACAGGATCGGGCGGAAGTAGGGGCCGCCGTGCACATAGCTATATAGATACATCTACAGGACGAACGCATGAGGGTCGTAAAACAACTTGGCAAACTGCAACTGTTAGTGTCAATGTCAGTCGCTGGGGGCGCCACCTGCTCCGCTACGCTTTGCATATGAAAATTTAATTCGAAAACTTGAGTTTTCCAACAGCGGACCAGCGATGCTGGCGGGCACGTGTTAAATGGCGCGTGAGCAGCTTGGGGAATAAATTGCGTAAGTGAAAAGGATACACGGCACAGCGCAAGGACTGGAAAATATAAAAAGAAAACGTGGCATGGGATGCGCTGCCGCAAATAAACTTTTGCATTTGACAAAAGTTTAAGTGCCGCACTTTTAATTACTTTTGTCTGCAGTCCAAGTCGCCTGTGGCAGCCACCCACTTTCTAACCACTCCCCACGCAACCACGCACATTTTCAATCAATTTGCCGAGGCATTCTTCAAGGCGCCTCCGCCAAGTCCTTGTGCTTGTATTTGTCTTTGTCTCGGGCTGGTAACGAAAGACACCCCATCCCACGCACATGCAACAAGAAATGGCAAAAGTTTTCGATACGCCCCCTATTACTTGGCACTCGATTTTATTGGCATCGCATTGCGAGGCGGCAAATGGCAAAGTTTTTAAGTTCCCGAACCAAACTCCCTCCGGAATCCCAGTCTATTAGCTGTGCGAACTTTGCGCATACGTATTGGCTCTTTTGTCAACGCCACTATCTATTTGTTGTGCAGATTTTCCACTTCGGCTCTCCCCCGCTTATTTTCGATCAAAGTTTCTATCCTGGCGGCGCCTGCTCTGAATTGTTAATTGAATTGCGACCAGTGACCCACTGCAAGGTGAGCCGCTGGGAGGTGGCCAAGTACTCACCCAGCATTTTGTTGCGGGCCACGTCGATGCGGGCCACTCCGAAGGCCGGGTCCGTGTCCGCCGTGTAGTTGTCGATGGTGAACTCCCAGTAGTGGACGCCGCGCGAGAATCCCACGGAGCCGAGGGCCACCCGGTGCTCCCAGCCCTCGACGCTCACGGTGGCGTTGTTTTTGCTGAAGATTAAGCCAGAACCGGCTCCGCCGCTCAGAACGGGATCAAACGTGAACCAGGCCACTGCAATGGAAGGAGAAAACATAGTCGATAAATACACTTGAAACAATAAGGCAAGTTTATAAGTCCTAGCAGTATCTTCGCAATACCGCCAAGTTAACCAGGGTTTTTTTTTTTCACTTTCGGTTATTAAACATGTTGGATAACAAACAGGCTCAGATGAGATAAGATTGTTTTCTTCCTGGCACTTCTTCCCTCATTCAACTGATTACGCCCCAATAGTATCCCATTACCGCGTTATCATTTCCAAATTTAAGACCATCGTCTTTTCCCAGTGGAAAGTGGAAAGTGGGAAGAAAAACAAAGCCAGACCGGTTGCAATTTTCCCCATTGTCAAAGCTCAAGTGGCCAGTGCAATTCGGAGTCCAAGTTGCTGGTTCCTTGGAGTTCATGCTGTTATGCGCCGCAAAGTAGGCAACGAGTGGCGAGTCGAGTGGAGTGCTTTATTAAATTTCCTTTTTTATTGTTGTGGCCGCATTAAGTGGCCAAGGCTAGTCCGGAATCAGCTGGGACCAGCTATGCATCTATATGTAGAAGTATATATAAGGAGAGCCGTGGCTCCACTTCTCGGTCTGCTGACGATGATGACGTTGCCTGTTTTATTGGCCACCAAAGGCAATTGTGTGGCCAAACAAGCCACAAAGCAAGCATCTGGGCCAGGAGGACTCCGGCTGGCCATTGTTTTGTTTATGTCGGGCATATGACTTTGCGATTAAAACTATGAGGGATTTGAGCCAGGCACTATAAACCGAGGGTCCTGGATGGCCGGGCATTTAATTAGTTGTTATAAACTCCTAGTTTCTTAATTGGATAACCAAGAGGG